TAACAAATGATCAAATGGTCAATGGCAATATTTAATTGTTACTCTTACCTCGGAAAATAAAAAATACAATTCTTGAACTTAATTAAAAAAAGAAGGGTAGAAAAGGGAAAATGCTGGCAGTGCAGTCAAAGACATCAAACCTCAAAAAGGATTTCGGGTTATATTTATCCCTGCTCCTTTGCGTTCCCTTTTTGGCCAACTCCCCAAAGGTTGTGAAAACACCAAACGGAAAGTTTGCGACGGCAAAAATACGTCAAATATGCAAAACAATCAAATGGGAGGAAACTTTTTGGCCAGAATGGAGCACCCACTTCCATTTTCCCCCACGTCGCCCCCCTTAACCCTCTGTTTATTTAGCACAAAGTCATCGAATGAGTTGGCAGATTCGCACCAGAACAGCGCAGAGAATAAAGTGACATCAACCAGCGGAATTTGTCTCCTCTTTTTCTACAGAATGCCACACACGAACACTCTTCAGCTGGATGAAAAATTTATCAACTTACGATCATAAATAATAATAATTTTCCAGCTTTTGTTGCGGCGGCCTGCGTTTGTCTGTAATTTCCGCAATTAAAAAAACATTTACTCGCATTTGATGTGAGCTTTTTTTTGCTCGCTGGCTTGTACTTGTTTACGTTTCGTTTTGTTTGCTGCTAAATGCACTTTTGTATTTGTTGCATGACGAGCGGCTTTTTGGCCAAGATAACTGCGACTGCTGCGGCGAACACCCAACTGCAGTTGGGCCAAGTCATCTGTTTTGGAGGTTATCCGCAGTGGTGGCATTTAATTTAGCCTGGAAAGAGCAACGTAATGAATGGAGATTGGCGGGAAAATGCGTTACCATTTGAAAAACATTTACTTCAAGATGGTACATCATAACGAAATGTAGCCATTAAAGATTAATTACTTATTTTACTAAAGCAAACGTGGATGTGCCACCACCAGGCACAGAAATTCATTGCGCATTTTCCCCAGCCTCCTCGCACTATGCTGGCCATTGTTTTAGTTCCGCTCGACGTGCCTCGGGCTTGATGAAAAAGCAATCTCTGCCAATATTATAATTCATTATGGGCATTATAAAATAGAATTTTTTTCGAGCTATTAAATAATGCTTTTTAATTTTTTCCTGCCTCAACGAATTCCATAAAATGTTGTTAGCAATTATTTTAATGATTTCCTTTAAACGTTAACCGGCACACATACGGCCAATAGCACTAATGTAATTGTGTGTGCGGCAGGGGGGAGGGGGGCTGACAGGGGAAGAAAATGAAATAAAATCCATTATGGAGCCGGAGCAGTGTAATAAACGAGTAAAATGGTTAAAATGGTGGCCTAATCGCAATTTAATTACAATACGCTTTCATATCAAAAAGCATTAATGCCCCCGGTCCACTCGGTACGTCAGTCAACCACTCAGCCACTTTAGACGTATGGCCTGTTGAGGGGCGGGGGGAGTGGCAGCGGGGCGGGGGCGTGGCAGGGGAGCGGAGAACCTCAGAGGTTTGCCTTTGGTACTTCACATGTATCGCTACTCTTGTTCATATTAATTGTTTCACCTTTATTATATTTCTGTTGCTGATACCTTCGGCTCCATTTTCCCCCTGCTCCTGGCTTCTTTTCCTCAAAGCGCCATTAATGCGTTTATAATAATTTCCCAGCGCTCAATTCGAAGCTCCTGTCCAGAAAAGGGCGCCCCAACCGATCAACGCACGCCTTGAAAGTATCTAAGAAAAACAAGTATTCCATCTTGGCTTTTTCTCCTTCTTTGTTTGATTTTTTTTGCCTTTTGAGTGATGGCAACATGAAATGTGCAAAGGCATCATTAAAAACAAATTTCAGAGAGCGCCCGCTCTTAAATTGCCGATGCACGCCCCTCTAGCCATTCACTGAGGCCCTCCCCAAACTATGTTTATTTTCAAGACCCAGTCCAGATCCCAGTCTTCTATGCGAAACTTGTAGGTGTTTTCATCAATTAAAATAATCATTTATTTGCAATGCATGAGGGCAGGCATACAGCTTTGTGTTGCTAATTACCAGCAAAAGCTTCTGTTACGTCAAAGGGGAGTTGAAATGCAAATGGAAATGGAAATGCGCTGGATGTGTGCCGGAGAAAGAATAGGTAGTAATCAGATGGGAACTACGGCAATGGTTATGGACAGGCGGAAAAAATGCTGTATTTGATTTGAAAAATGAGTGCTAATGACTGGACTTTTTTGAGTTTCAGTTAGTTTGATATCAACTTAATCAAATTAGTTGGAAACGATTTCTGCAGAATTTAAACAGGAGTTATTAGATATGCCTACATTATAATATTCCAACAGGCTATACAAACTATTTTTGGAAAAATTCGTACTCCCCCGTACCTCTCCCTTTTTGTTATCCATCATCTCGGGTGAAAGTCCAGCCCATTTATTCCGCTCTTAATCCGCTCCTAATACTCAACTCTTTGGCCTTCCCCCCACGGGTTCTTCGCAGACTGCTGAAGGATGGGCGCGGAAGTCGAGGGGGATGACCACGCACGCTTTTTGCCACAAATCTTTCAAGATTTTTTGCCGGCACAGCGACTCGTCTAACTGATGATGATTAAATGCGAACGCCTCGGGTTATAGACATGGCATCAGCCGTGTCATTTAAAAGAAGGTAGCTGCTCTGACCACCGCTGTGCGGCTCCCCCTCTATATATCCACCCCCTCCCCTGGTTCTATACGATTTGGATTCGCGCGCCTTAATGGATGCCGCAAAAAATACTAAAAAAAACTTTGAGAAAAAATACATAAAAGAGCTTATGATGTAATGACCTCGAGCCAGAGATGGAAGACACAAAAATACGTGAAATATTAAAAAAGAAAAAAATTGGAAGAGCGAGTTGAGCAAGACAAATGCTGAAGATGTTATTAAAAAATAGTTAAGACTGCCCACCTCGGGGGTTGGGGTTTTGGGGTGGGGGGGACTTCCACTGATTGCCGCTTGGCGTGGTTGGTCAAAAGCCACCGCAATGCCAATGCTGCTGTGGCCGCCTTCCAATTTCCGGCCGGACATTTTCCAAACCCTAAAAAAACACAGAAATACACTCAAGAAGAGGACGGGAAAACTCCACCCGAAAATGGCTTCTCACGCTAGCAACCCATTTCAATTACCTGCCTTCGCCATTGACAATTATAATATTTGCTGCTGCGTATTATATTTGACATATTTTTTCCCGACGTTTTCACTGTGCTCTTTTTTTGTCATTACCGAAATTATAATTATAGTAAGTGTCATTAGGCGCCGAACTCATTTGGTTGGTTGCTTTCGAAATGGAGCGGTTTCGAGTGGGGAGGGGGCAGCCTTCGTAATTATGCCGAATTATTTTACAGTTATGCCCTGCTACCGTCCAAGGGGGAGGAATTCAAGGGGACTGAACCAGGCTCGAAGGTGAACTGCACTTGCCTGAATCACAGGCATGATACCTCTCCGCTTAACGGACAAAGATACGGACGGACGGACGGATGAACGGACAGACCGCATTGGGGCATAATTAGTTACCTTGTCTGCTCGCCGCTTGATGTCCATGAAATCTCCGCCGAGTTTAATCCACAAGTGAAACCCAAAACTGGGTGCATAATCGAATACTGGATGCCCTAACCGAAATTTTTAAACTAAGAAATTAAATCAAAAAATGAAAAAAAATATGTTGTTTATGTTTCTTATTTTAAAGAAGATCATTTTTTTTTAAATTGAAATGTTTGGTAATTTTATTTGATGCGAAGTTATTGATCCGTTATCAATAACGAGTTTAAGAATTTAAAAAATTTTGACAATACTTTCATATTCCTTTTCTTTCTCTAAGTCTTCCTTCCCATGAAAAGGGTATGACTTGAAAATTAAACCCAGAGTTCCTATCGGGATGGCCGACAGAGAGGAGGCCCCTCGTCACAGACCTGTTGTGGGCCCAGCTTTTTATACCCGTTACTCGTAGAGTAAAAGGGTATACTAGATTCGTCGGAAAGTATGTAACAGGCAGAAGGAAGCGTTTCCGACCCCATAAAGTATATATATTCTTGATCAGGATCACTAGCCGAGTCGATCTAGCCATGTCCGTCTGTCCGTCTGTCCGTCTGTCCGTCTGTCCGTCTGTCCGTCTGACCGTCTGTCCGTCTGTCCGTCTGTCCGGATGAACGCTGAGATCTCGGAAACTATGGGAGCTAGGCTATTGAGATTTGGCGTGCAGATTCCTGAGCTTCCTACGCAGCGCAAGTTTGTTTCAGTAGACTGCCACGCCCACTCTAACGCCCACAAACCGCCCAAAACTGTGGCTCCTACAGTTTTGATGCTAGATAGAAAATTTTAACTGAAATGTATTGTTCTTATCAATACCTATCGATTGACCCAAAAAAAGTTTGCCACGCCCACTTAAACGCCCACAAACCGCGAAAACCTGTGACGCCCACAATTTGCATGCTAGATAAAAAATTTTAACTGAAATGTGTTGGTGTCGTCAATACCTATCGATTGATCCAAAAATAAATTTGCCACGCCCACTCCAACGCCCATAACGCTTAAATCTGTCTACCGCCGGTAGGTGGCGCATTTTAATCTCGCTTTGCTGCTTGCATATCTCCATTTCCCTTTGAGTAACGGGTATCTGATAGTCGAGGTACTCGACTATAGAGTTCTTCCTTGTTTCTCTTTTTTTTGACAAGTACAAATATCCGAATTCGGTAAGGTTGTCTTTTAATCAGCCTCAGTTTCAGAGCCTCAGCGCCTTGCTTCATGTGGTTTTGAGTTCCCCCAATCCCGTACCCTCAGTCCTCATCCGATTATCCGGGAGAAAGAGAACAAAAAGATACAAAACATCAAATATACATATATATTTATATATATTCTTCATCCAGCTCTTGTTGTTGTATGCATTGTAGTGGACCTGTAGATATAGTAGAATTTGTTGTTGATTTGGTGGCCGGTCAAGCGTTGCATTGATTTTAATTGTGAAAATTGTTTTATTTACTTGGAACCAACAGAACGCAAGCGCGGAAGGCAGACGTACACACGATACCAGACCCTGGAGCTGGAGAAGGAGTTCCACTTCAATCGCTACTTGACCCGCCGGCGGAGGATCGAGATCGCCCACGCCCTGTGCCTCACGGAGCGCCAGATAAAGATTTGGTTCCAGAACCGGCGCATGAAGTGGAAGAAGGAGAACAAGACGAAGGGCGAGCCGGGATCCGGAGGCGAGGGCGACGAGATTACGCCACCCAACAGTCCGCAGTAGACCGAGTCCGGCGGAGTCTCACCAGTTAAATGAAATTTCTATCTAAATACAATTTACGTTAGTTCGGAGAGCGCAAATGAATTTACTTCGATCCCAGAGGACTATCTATTACCTATCCAATCCGTTGAACTTCGCGTGAACTAAACTAAACAAAGAGCAGAGCTGAGAACTCTACCTACAACTTAGTTAATTGTTATTATTTTCTACTTATTATTTAATTGTACACGAATGGCAAGTGGAGAAAGCGAAATAAGATAAACGTAAAGATAACGATTACGATAAAGATACAAGTAAAGCGTAAAACTCAAACAAAACCAACTCATGTGACCTCAGATCTAAATAAGCTATATTTAACTATAATGCATATATATACACATAAATATATGGATAACTATACATGATACCAAGTAAAGCTAAAGGCAAGGAGTTATATATAAATAAATATATATGAAGCATATATACTATATACACGATAACATTAGTTCTTACGCGTCATAAGTACTGTACGATTAACTTATATATACACCCCAGCATAAACCCTAAACCTAAAACATAAACATTAAACTAAATCAATGTTTGTAGCAATCCTAGCGCAAAAGTATAAAATAAAAACAAATAAAAATCTAAAAAACCAAAATGGCGTCAAAATCCATTGCATGTTGGTTCAAGAAACCCATAAATATTTCATAACACTGAACATGATAATAGAAAACTTTGCCCTAAGTGAATGTCGCAAATTTAGACAAAGAAATACCAAAACCGCGGAGAAACGTTGCTTAAAGTAAACAAAACGTTTTACACATACAATACAGAATAAAACCTATTAACTGGCAGAAGCTTAACTATAAATAGAAAGGAATCGCAAAAGATTGGCAACACTTCAAAGTAATATATGTAAAAATTCGGCAGTTAAACTTTATAAAACTCGCAAGTGAAAATTTAACCTTAACAAATTTGAGAGTTCCTCAACTTTCGGTTAGATTTACCATTTTTCTGTATTTTCTTATATTTTTAATTTCTTGTGCAATTTTAAGTTCTTGCAAAAATGAAATTCGAATTAGGTCGAAAAGGATATAAAGTATACCGAAATGCATAAAAATATGAATTGGCAAGCGGAGAGGAAGAATATAAATTGTTAACAGAGGAACACAAAGAATATGTATAAATAATGAATTCAAACAAAAACCCTGTAAAGTAGTAAATTGAAATGCATTATTATACGAGGATGTAGAGAATCCCTTTTGAATGCAGAACCGAACGATTTCTATATGAATATTCGCCTAACAACTATATAAATGTATGTACGTAACTCAAACTCAATTTCCACGCCATCTGTGGAAATCCATATACCAAAGTCAAAGGAACGAAGGAGAAAGAGATAGAAGGACGGGAATGAAAACTATAAAGCATCATATGTTTATATGTAGATATATATAATTAAACAAGCCTAATATAAAACATGTATCTTTGTAGAGCGTTTCGTTTGTAAATTCCCCAGAAAACCCCCTTCCCCTCCCAACCAGATTCCCAATCCAAGGTGAAAGGATTTGTGATTTGCAATAGAAGAAAATAGTCAAAAGATTTCAAAAAAATTACAATGTATTGGCTTAAAGAACCTTGAGAGCGAAATTCAACTCAATCCAGATACGTAACTTTCGGCCTCATTCTGTAAGAAACTAATAACTTAAGTTTCAATTCAGAAAATTAAAAAAAAATTGGACAAAACATAAATATAGAATGTAGAAATTCACAAGAAACAAAATTCGAATGCGTTGATAAAAATATATATATTTGAAACAAAACAAAAACATTAAATACACCCAAACATTTGTGCGAAATTGAAACGAAATGTGGAAGCTAAACAATTTGTTGTAAATAAAATTTAAACTTTAGTGTAAACAAGAAGGATGGAGAATGCAGTGGAAGGGCTGCAAGGCAAAGCAAAAAGCATAAAGAAAATTATAATTAAATTACAAATGAGATTTTGTTTTTATTTGTAATATTTATAATAAAAATATAGTATTTAAAAATTTAATCTGAAGGAGGTTTTACTGGCATGGGGTTTTCTTTTAGTGGGCCATAGATATGTGAATCCTCTGAGTGGTAAGGTAAGCGTTTCAAGAGTTAAATATTTAATATTTCAGTTGATAATTCCATGTAATTTCAGTAACTTCCACTGTGCAATGACGGCATGAATGGAAATTTCCTAAGGCCACTGATTATGTCAGAAGGTAAGCACAGAATTGATATAACAATTTCACGTGGAATCGTTCATTAAACATTCGCCTTTTTTTCGCAGGCCTCGAACATGGACCATTTCTGAAAACGATCTTATTAATCTGACATCATAATAAGCGATTAATCAAGTGGCATTAACAAAGCACTGGCCAATGGTCAGCCCAGACACCTGAGCCCCTCACCCGAAGACCACGATCAGCAGCTGCTCCACCCGCATAAACTGGCCTCAACTTTACTCAGCCCGAGTCAGGAGCTCAAACAAATTGAATTCTCATTGTTCGCATAATCGCCGGCCATTTGTAATCGCGAAATTCAGTGAATGTGCTCACGTTTATGTCACAGAATCACATGAATAATTCAGGCAGAATTTTGAATTTTGAGTTTTGAAACTGCCCTGCCAGCATGACCAATGCAATAGATGTCGGCATTCTCGCCGATGTGTTTGCCGCAATCACAACGCATCCCTAGTTGACATAAATAGCCTCAGAATTGAGCAGCTGCCAATTTGGACTCACGGATGCGAATGTGAAGATTCCATTTCCATGGTCGAAACAGCGACATCGAGAAGACGCATCCATTCCCAGAAGATTTTCTGCCAAGTTTGAGTTCCTATTTGGTTTTCGGTCTGATGAAGTTAATTAAAATGGTTCCTACTTGGCCCTCAAATAGAATTTTCATAATGAATTCTACCTAGTCCACAGAATGTAGAGATCTAGCTTTGAAAGTGTGCATACCTATGCTGTGAGTCTCATATTCGATGGGGTGTGATAATGAGTTGAATGGCTTATTAAGAGATATTTTCGAGGGACAGATTTGTAATTTCGGCTAAATTATCCATACGGTTGCACAGAGATATAAGTTGGCAGAATATGGTTATTAAATATGTCACAAAAAAGTTTGAGATTGAAAACAAGTGTAAGGTCTAATTATTGATAGGTATAGAGTTAAATGTTTATTGTTTATTTAGTAAGTCCAGTTATTGGAAACACCATTTTCCATTTAAACACCCTTTTCCTTATAATTTGTATCTTATAAATGTATAAAGGCAATTTAATAAAACATTTTTAAAATTTTAATCTAAAAGTTTATTAATTTAAACCGAAGTTTGGACTTGAGCTCTTCAAAAGTTGTGTTATTATTTTGATTGGTATTCGAAAAATGTTCGTCGACTCAGATGTAAAGAGGTTTGTACCCAAAAAAATGTATTTTGTATACTATTTCTGATTTTAAAATTCATTAATAAAGAGTTTTTAGACACGACCCATAGTTGCTTTGTTATGAATATGTTTAAGTTTTACCTTTAAAGCTGGGCATTTTATTCCTTATACCATGTGTAATATTCCACGACATTTATGTAGTATCCCACGATCAGTGACAATACAAATTAAACAAGTCTATGTAAAACTATTCGAATAAATTCAAAGAAATGTGGATAAATTGAATAATGAAGTCTTAAAAGTAATCAACAAAAATCTAATCAATCAATATCCATTGGCCAAAAAAAATGATGTAAATGTCCGATATTTAATCTACCAGTAACCCCCGCCATCTGCAAACGAGTAAACTGCAACATTCGTTGATCGAGCCATATGCCTAGGGCCAATCCGAGATGGATACCAAGACACTTGAGACATCTCACACTTTCGGATCGAGTGAGTGCGATGGAGAAACTATCAATAATCACTTCGCTGGAATTAAGACAACACTTCAAAAAGACTGAGATAAATCATTAATTACGGAAAGCAAATTGAGACCGGTTGAGAATTTGTAGGAAACAAAGCAAGATGTCAGAAATCCACTCGAGCTAATAATGAAGACAGCGCGATGCGAGCGGACAAGTGCTCGGAGACGGGGTTCACACAATCCATCAATCGATCGGCCATCGATCTGTCGATCCATCAAGGCACATAAATCATTGAAAGGGCGACTGGTCGATAATTAGAAGTGGAAAACAAACTCCAATTGCGTGGTTCCCAGTGCCAAATTCAATTGCGCAAAAAGCCATAACACATCCTGGCTGGCAATCAGCCAAATGAGCTCCTAATAGAATATTAACTCCCAAAAAGCGATTCGGGCAACCGCCTAACCGAATGCAGTGGTTATGCCGGGGAAATTGGAGTCGCATTTGGACCCAGCACTCTCACAGATGCAGAGATACGGATACAGATGCAGAGATGCCCGAACAGCAGGCAGGTAAACTGGGCCCAGAGCAAACCTGTTATGGGTCCAAACCGAAAGCCGAATTCAAGTCCGGTTTTGAGTCGAATTCGAAGATGACTTCGAACTGCGAAATTTCGGAGATCGCACCAATACCAGTGCAGCGGGCACCAATACATCGACAGCTACCTGAGCAAGAGAGCGCACCCACACCACCGAGGGTTCGAGTTCGAATTCGAGTTCGAGAACTCGCGGCCCGGTCCTGAAACCCGGACCCTCGAGCGGACCTGAGCAGTTCCTCCTTTTCTGCCGTGCGATGCGCATGCGACGTCGAAGGGAAAACGCTCCGCACCACACCATCTTACCCAGACACTGGAGTAACGGTGGCATGGCCGCTCCACACAAGCGACGCACTCTACGCACACACTTGTCGCCTCGCTCGCACCCGCACTTTCCCCATGCGCATGCGCGTCGATTGGCTCCGCCCCCGGGTTTCGAAATACTTGACTGACTTTCAATATGGCCGCCGTTTTGACAGCTCCTATTGTTGCTGCTGTGCGAGTGTGAGTGTGAGTGCGTTGTGTTTGTTGTAGGGGCAACCATTTGCCGGCGATCCACAAGAGTCGGTGTCCACTTGCCGCCGGCGGAACGGAAATGAAATCAAATGTTTGGAAATGCCTTACTATTACGAAAAACTAATTAATTTACTACAATTCTAAACGGATTTCTAAAAAATAAAATTATTTGCATTTTTATTAATTTATTCACAAATTTCGTTCACAAATGTTTAATAAATATATTTTTTAAAGTATGTGTACAAAAAAATCCATAAAAAAATTTAGTTTATAGTCTTATCTTGTTAGAAATAGAAAAGTTACTGATTACAAAAAATTATTGCTTTAAAAAAATTACAAAATGCTTATAAGTACTAGGATTTTAAATAACGAATTAAGTTTGTGCAACTTTATCTGCAAACTACCAATCAGTACCTAAGACTAGCTAAAGATTATGCGATACTCTTTAACAGTATTATACAAATAATAAGAAACTATTTTGTTATATTTAACTTTGCAACACATAAAAATTCAATTACTGCTGAATACTGATAGATCTTTGATGCACTAATCGGCATTACACAATAAGTATACTCAATTTCGTATTATAAATGCAGGACATAAAAATATTTTTACAAAGATCTTTAAAAATCATATTTGAATAAATGAATTTGCCTTATTATGTTGCTCCTTTTTAATAATTTCCCCTTCCTTTGCACACACAAAAAAATCAATTGTTAAAATTGACCAATATAATAGTAAAACGGTCCCCAACCACCGAATCGTCAATTTTACACATCAAGTAGTTATTCTTTCGTAATAGGTAAACGTAAATAAAGCAAAATCTTATACATATATAACCATTTTTAATAGTTGAGTACAATTTTATAAAGTTAGTAAACTATCTGCATTGTTCAATTTAACTAGCCAAATTGTTTTGTGTGTATTTTTCGACCCTTTAAGAAAGACATTCCTTCTTAATACTAACTGATTGAGATTGCGATTTCCATTACCGCCACCAACTGTTGAGTTCATAAAAAGAGGAAGGAAAGAAGCTTACCGCCTACAGCAGAGTGTATAAATTTCCCTATACGTCTCAATCTTTTCGTGCGATATGGCTGGCCATTAAAATTAAGTAATTTGAAGACAAGGCAGGGAAATGTTGTCACAACATTCCAGTAATTACCCGTAATGCCGAAAGAACACAACAATCCCGACTGCGACCAGGAACGACGTCGCTAATGATCGAATCATTTCGGATAATGGCCCGAATGAAGAAGCAGGGAACTGTATCTGTAACTGTATCTGAAACTGTTGGCCATAAGAAAGGCCAGCGACAAAAAGCGGGAGAGCGAGATACTCGACTCACCAGAAGTCAAACTGAAAATTGAGCTGCAGATGTAAGTAAATCAAATAAAATCACGTGTCATTTGTCTCTGCGACTCATTGAAAGATAAGATTTTCGGTAGCATGAGCGTTCGCGTGGGTTAGGAAGAGCCCCAGATTCAGATACAGATGCCGATAGGGAAGCAGGAACTCGGAGCTGGTCAAATGCACAAAAATGAAGTGCGAACCCATTAATCAGGGCTTTACTAAATTTAATATGCGGTTAAAAGTGCTAATGACGCTGGTCGGGCAATCGTTTAAGCCTCATCCCACAGAACCACCCTCCGCCCCCGCACTCAAACCGACTTCGAGGAGCGGGACTGGAGCGGATGGAACCAACCCAATCCGAAACGAACAACCGGCGGAGAGCAGGGCAGTACATAAAGTTTAATGAGGAACCACTTAACACTTTCAGAGCTTTTTACGTTTTGCTGTCATTAGAATGATTTTTGCCACTAACTACGATCCCAGAAAACACTGGAAGAAATTCGGGTACATTCTATGAAAGTAATAGATAAATGTGACAAAATATATAAACTTTTGGATGTTCCAAATATAATTTTATTTTGGCGGTGCGATTAAAGAAATCAACAACTGTTTTGAATAACATATTCATATAATTAATGAATGGCTTAAAAAGTATTCCTTTCTAAATTAAAATCTACTACAAGAACTAATGTTTTTGGAAAAAAATGGTATT